GTCGGACGTGGGCCAATGGGCCAGGGATCGGGGCTAATCGGGCTGAGACGCTAAGTGGCGCTTTGTTAGGCGCACTTTACACTTCGTACGGATGCATCGGGACGAGGTGACGCTCTTTGGCGCCACAAAGTCTATCTTGCAGGCTGCTTCGCAGCATGCGAACGAGCTACGTATTCGTATAAGGGTGTGACCTTAGCATTCTCGCAATTAGACAAGGTTTGTCTGATTCACCAGATCAGACGAGGTTCGCTCGTTTGACGAGGTTCGCCTATTTGACTAGGTTCACTTGTTCGACGAGGTTAGCCTATTTGACGAGGTTCTCCTATTTGACGAGGTTCGCTCGTTAGACGAGGTTAGCCTATTCGATGAGGTTCGCCCATTCGACGAGGTTCGCTCGTTCGGCGAGGTTCGTCCTACTGACAATGTTCATCTAATTTGCTGAGATGTGACCCTCGCGTTTCGTAGTAACACGTCCATTATTTGCCTCATATTCAGGAGTTACTGCATGCATCAGTTACAACAACATTTACATCAATTTATTGGATTGTTGTTATAATCATAATTGCCATTATGATTTGTAACAGCCACATTAATTGAGGGTGATTCTTGAGCTGGTCTTAGAGGCCTATAAATACTGCCCCTTGGACAGCTCTTAGTGCGAACTTAAAATACGAACGTCGGATAGAGGATATCTTGATGTTGTTGCTGTTGTGCAGCTGCTTAGAAACTGTGCCCGCAGGAACTTGCCCTAAAACTGAAAGATTTTGAACCAAAAGGTCCTGAAATCGATAAGATCTTTGTCTTGACCGAAAGGTCTTATAGATTGAGAAGATCTTAACAATACTGGGTTGACGCACACCAAAGTACTATACTACTGTTCCTAGAAGTAGTTTGGCAATGGGATCCTTGTACCAGAGTAGGCTAAATATTGCTTTAAGCACAGCGTTTTACAAACGCACAACAGTGAACTAAAAAAGTTTAAAATTACAGCACATTAAAATTTTTCTGTTTCATTCCAGATTTAACCATAATTTCCAATAATCTTAAAGCAATATTTCTAATCTATTATGGATCCCGTGAGGACTCTTGGAGTGGACTGTCTCAAGTTAGAGAATTTTGACGGATCCAACTTTAATGCATGGCATCGGAAAGTAATCTTCAGGATGCAACTCCTGAAGATCTACTATGTGGTTTCTGAGGAGAAACTCGACTTTGAACAAGACTCTGAGTCTGAAGCCTCTTGAGCTAGAGATGATCATTTATGCAGGAATTATCTCATTAACTGTCTGGCTGGTCATCTGGCAGATGCTTACACCAACAACCTCTCTGTAAAGAAAATCTGGAATGCTCTGGAGGAGCAATACAAGAATGAGGAGAAGCTGAATTAATCTTCTTTTCCTCTGTAATCGAGAGAGCGTGAGTGATTGTAAGGGTTTCGTACCAAGTGATCGAACCCAGTTTTCTTAAAACAAGAGAATCAATCAATCCTTAATTTTTTCGACCCTACAGAAGATGGCGACCACAGTGGAAGCAGCTATTCTTTCCGATGAGATAGTGGTGGCGCAATCAGACAAGATTGATGTGGGAACGGACGTCGAGACTTTCGTCATTGAATTTGACCAGTCTAAATACGAGGAGTATCTCTCATCTGGTAAGTCTAGTCCCACGAAGGCACGTAAGTGTCGTCGAGTCTCGTATGAGACCTCAGCCCAAGTGGATTCGGATGATTCAACTCGAGTTAGTCTCGAGGAAAAGTCCAAGCCCCTCAAAGAGGAGGCTCTAGAAACTAGCCGTCAGGCTAAGAAATGGGTTGTCAAGCAACCTAGCCAAACTTCGGCTTCTACTAGCCAAATTATGGCTTTTGAAAACGAACCTCGTCCAGCTTCGGCTGAGGCAAATGTTCCTACTCGTTCACTGTTGAGACGCACTCGACAACGTCAGCGTCAGAATCAAGCTCGTCGTAGGGTTTGAGCTTTGGTCTTGCTAGACAGTTTTTATTATCGACCGAGGGTTGATCAACCTAAAGTCAACAAGTCTGACGAGGGTCAGGTGAATGAGGAACGTCCGAAAGACGAACCTCATCCTCGTACCCGAGTAGCCCCAGACAACGAGCCTCATTCTCAAAAAGAGGTTCAACAGTTTCAACAAGCGGTTCATACCGACGTTCGTAAAGAAAACGAACCTCAGGATAAGAGCCAACTGAGAAGGCACAAGCGTCGAGCTCGTTCTACCAACGAATGGCGTCGCATGAATGATGGAGTTCATCAGTCTACCCAAGTTCGTCAACCTCTATCATTCAGAGGGTCTTACTTGGGTAAAGCTAAGATGACGGAGTCAACTGGGGGTTGTCCAGCTGGTGACCTTCGGGATTATCTCACACGTAAGCGCAGCATAAGCCAAATGCAACCTCATTGCTGCTGTGAGAAACTCATTTCTACAGTACTTTCCCAATGTTCATGTGGGGAGTCAACTCATAAGCCTTCAGTCTTCGAACGGTTAACTGAACCGTCGATGGTCTCATCATCAAGAAGAAGACGCTTTCGTCCCAAGAAACAAGCACCTAAGAATTGCCACATTAAAGTGACGATTAATATGGTCAGCAAGGGCAAGAGCAAAGCTTCGGCTTATTCTTCTGAATCTTCTGATCCTAAATACTCTCCAGGACTAGGCGAAATGCTTGTCGAAGGACAGGGAGTGTATCAACACACTCGTACTCGTACTGGTGCAGTGATCTCATTTGATTACCATCAATTAGCAGGCATCACAGATGAGGTTGAGGAAGATCCTGAAAACTCAGCTATTGCAACCTCTCAGCCTTCCAACACTGATCAAAGTGAACAAGCAAGTGCTCTCATGACCGAAAATGAGGAGGGCCTGGCGAGGTAGGTGGAAGAGAAATAATCAACCATCCTCCAACAATAGGAGTCTATCAGACGCTTGGAGGATATGGTAGACAAACTCCTTAAGGAGAAGAAGAAGAAGAAAGCCACCGCCGAATCCTCAGGATCAAGGCACCAGCGACCTTCACCCAGTGCTCGAGAATCTAGCTGTCGAAACCAAGATGGCGATAATGCAGAAGATGAGAAAGAAAATATTTTTGATATTCATTCTAAATCATCCGAAGCTGAGTCCAATCCGCGTAAGAATGACCGAGATCAGAAGTTGGACTGTAGGCGTCAAAAAATGCTGATGGATATCCAAATACAGCTTAAGAGGAGGTCATTCAAAGAGCACAAAAGATGACCTTACACTGTCTCGAAAGAATCGAGACAGTGTCAGTATAGACTGTCTCGCTGTGCGAGACAATATAGACTGTCTCACAGGGCGAGACAGTATTGACTGTCTCGCAGGGCGAGACAGTATAGTCCTCGCCATGCGAGACATTGTTTACTGTCTCGCACGCGAGATAGTGTTTACTGTCTCGCACGCAAGACAGCTTTGAAATGTTTGCAAGTTGTTGAAATAACCGTCGACACGTGGCTACCAACTGTTCAAGAACGTGGGAAATGTCGTGGGCGAGAATCATGTTGATAACTACCAAAATAACGGAGTTTTAAAACGTGGAAAGATAGTTATAAGAAAACTATCAGACAGTTGAAGTTTTCCGAGACAGTGTTTACTGTCTCGGAACCC